CCAGCTAATGCAAATACCTTCCCACTTGTTGGAGCCTGCTTTGACTTAGTACACTTTGTACTAATATGACCAACTTCCCCACAGTTGTAACACTTCACCACGTTCCTTCTACAATCAGTTGTAGCATGGCCGATACCTCCACAGTTAGCACACTTCGCTCCATCCTTCTTACACTCAAAAGATTTGTGCCCCACTTCATCGCACCTATAGCACTTAATGGGACCAGAACTTCCACCTCCGGACCTCTTAACAAAGTGTTCCCTATGCTTGCCTTTATCAGCAGGTGTCACATAAGGTCCATTCCTTACCGGTTGCTTTCCTCTCTTCTCATTCAAACTCTTATTGTGAGTAGAACGAGCTTTACTATCCTCTTCAAAAATTCTACAGCATTCGGTCAAGTCCGAAAATCTCCTTATCCTCTGATAGCCCACCGCTTGCTTGATCTCAGGATGCAGGTCGTTCTCATACTTAACACACTTGGAAAATTCCGCCGTCACCGCATCATAGTGAGGATGGAACTTCACCAACTCTGTAAACTTAGCCGGGTAGTCTATCACGGATATATTGCCTTGTTTCAATTCCAGGAACTCCATTTCCTTCTTTCCCTTCACACTCTCAGGATAATACTTTCTCAAAAATTCGGTGCAAAATAAATCCCAAGTGATTTCCTCATCGTCTACTTCAAGAACTTGCCTCATACCGACCCACCAGTCATCGGCTTCTTCTCTCAACATGTGAGTCCCAAGTCTCACCTTGTTCCCTTCAGCACAATTCATAACTCTAAAGATCCTTTCGATCTCTTTTAACCAAATCTGAGCACCGTCCGGATCAAACCTTCCCTTGAATACCGACGGCTGATTCTTTCTAAACTCATCATTAGCGTTCACATTCGGCGCACCCTGCACCGCCCCAGCCATTGCCTCCAAAGCAGCAGCCATCGCATTGTCGTTACGACCAGCCATATTCTGATTATTCCCAAAAATAACAACAAGGTTAAACAACCGTTCAACCAACAAAACAACGAGACAGACACAACTGACTCAACACTGGCTCTGATACCACTTAATGTAACACCCCCTTTATATACCCCCAAAAATACAAATAATCTTTTAGGCATAAATTCAAAATTTCATCAGAGTACATTTATATCACGGCATAAAAGGGGCATATCACATTATACCAAAAATTCAACACATACAACACCTGCTCAACAGATATGCAACAACGGAGTAACACCCACAAGGAAAATATTTAGAACATAGGCGGAAACATCCAAATATTTCATAACTTCCAAAACATGTGATCACATACATATGTATCATTCAAGTTGATTTACAACATCATCAATATATACAATATTCATCCAACATGTTTCATCAACATTCATCAGCAGATACAAGCATAGACATATCACAAAAGAATCAAAATAATCCCTAGCTACCCGGTGCTACATATCAGAGCCAACCGACCAAAAAGGATGAAGTCACGCTTCACAAAACTCCAGCAATCTAATCTGCAATGCCTCATAGAGCATTATAAAACAGCAGAAGAGTGAGAAACAATATCATACACCGTACATCGCAATGTATTCACCATAAATTATTTACAAATATAATACATAATGCATATATATATAACGTCCAATAACGTCTTCCACGTTCTCACCGCAACTCATCTCACTACACCGTACATCGCAATGTATTCACCATAAATTATTTACAAATAGAGCACCAAGCATATACAATATGCATCAACAATGTTTATATCATTTCATAAACATACGCACATATACATATATATATATTCACACATACATGTATCTTCAAGCCTTCCATTCACGCCAATTATCAACAATTTACACAAACATCTACATTCATGTTTATTCACCATACATCATGCACAGATGTCAACATGCAACTCATAGAGACCGACACACGACTCTATGCAGATGCAAATGCGGTACTGACTCATTTCAGCAGGTTCAATTGAAGAACCAAAAATAACCATCGCTCACACCCCACATGGGCACATGAGGTTTTGCAGATTCTACACGGAATCAAATATAACCATCGCAACATACGAGGTTCTGCAAATCCACCGAGGGATCAATATATAACCATCGCTCACACCCCACAAGGGCACTCGAGGTTTTGCAGATTCACCGAGGAATCAACATATAACCATCGCTCACACCCCACAAGGGCACACGAGGTTCTGCAAATTCACCGAGGAATCAATCAACACAAGAATGCATACCATGATGCTTCACATGCAACATGACTCATAACACTCTTGAAATGCATACATGTTTACAAACATACTCATGCATTCATCACATTCGTCGCATACATTCATTATGCATTCAAAATATATGTATCACAAAGCATATATATATATATATATATATATATATATATATATATATATATATATATATATATATATATATATATATATATATATATATATATATATATATATATATATATATATATATATATATATATATATATATATATATATATATATATATATATATATATATATATATATATATATATATATATATATATATATATATATATATATATATATATATATATATATATATATATATATATATATATATATATATATATATATATATATATATATATATATATATATATATATATATATATATATATATATATATATATATATATATATATATATATATATATATATATATATATATATATATATATATATATATATATATATATATATATATATATATATATATATATATATATATATATATATATATATATATATATATATATATATATATATATATATATATATATATATATATATATATATATATATATATATATATATATATATATATATATATATATATATATATATTCATCATCCATTCAAACCAATTTTCATACATGGTTCACATTCAAAATCAATATCGCCATGCACTTCTATTCAATTCAAGTAAATGCACAAAATTGTCAAACGACCACATTTCACACCTCACAAATCACTAACTAGGATTCACGCCATACGGCTACCCACAACACACATAACAACATATAGTTAGTCATCTTAGACAAGGAATGATCGCAACCAAACCACACAACCCATCCACGAACAGAAAACACAAGAAAAGAAAATATGCTGCTGTGTTCGCTAACCTTCGCCTGGCGAAGCCTCTGGCGAACCTTCGCTACTTCGTTCGCCTGGCGAACTCGCCAGCGAAGACCACAGGGAGTAATTCTGGAATTACTCGCCAGCACGCTCGCCTGGCGAACCTTCGCCACACTCATTCGCCGGGAGAACTTGCCAGCGAAGACAGGGTGTTGGCTACTGACTTGGTTCGCTGCTGCTCGCTGGGCTTCGTCTGGCGAAGTTTCGCCGTCACTCGCCTGGCGAACCTGCGAACTCAGAACTCCCATGACTATCCAAAAGCCCAAACCTCACAAACCGACCGATTTAATCCAAATCTTTTCCAGTAGCACAACCCACTCATCATCCAACTATACTACACCGTCCAGTTCAGATTCTAACCGATAAAACTCAGTTTCTACCGATTAAATCAACTTCCGACCTAGAAATGGAAACATAGAAAACAATCCAGTACATCCAAACTAGCACATACAGGATTATATACATTATCAAGATGATAAAACTTCTCACCCTTACCTGATTAATCGCAAGCTAAGGTTGATTCCTGATGATTCTAGGTTTTGTTCCACTTTCTCTTTTTTTCTCTCCTCCTCTTTTCTTTCTCTTGTTTTCTTCTTAATGTTTCTATCTTTCTCTTTTCTCTCTATATCACATATTCTATTTTCTTTCCTCCCAAATTCTTTCCACACACTTATCAAATAATTCTCACAAAATATCCACTTAATATTATCACTAATACCCAAAATACCCTCCAACCTATTTTTACCCGAAACTCTCAAAGTCAGCAAAAATAGCTCAATATGTAAACATAACATATTATCACACAAATTCCACATAAATAAAATAATCACTTAAATAAATCAAATAAGGACTCAATAAAAATGGAAATTCAGAATCGGGGCGTTACATTTCACGATTTCAGACACATCTTAAAATCTGAAGATGACCTTCATCTGCGCAACCCACTTCTCGTAGTTCCCACTTTTGAAAACTGGTAGATTTGCTGGAAATTTCGTTGATGTTGTATTTTCGTTTGCCATTACATATTCTCTCTGAATCGCAACCTAGACTCCTTGATACCAATTTGTTGGAACAAAAGGATTTTCAAGAAAGATGAGAGAAGAAGAAGAAGAGAGAAAAGAGATAGAAATTGAATTGTTGAAATTAGGATTTGTATTGAGCGTATTACTTATTTAAATCATATTATGCCCTTTATATGAGCAACTAAAACTCATACCTAAAACTATATAAAGCGACGCAAGCCCAAAATATACAAATCATATTTTGACTTCGATATAACAACTTAAATGATGTATTAGATTCTGTCAAATACAACTTACTCCTACACCCTCGACTAACTACTTCGACATAGTAGATTACTAGCTTTCGACATAATATCAAATTATAACTTCTAAAACCGAGACCGTGTAATCATCGGTAAAACGCTCCTTTGTAATCAACAACAGAAAATATCGCTTGATATTAGCCATGTAGAAACCATGAATACTTTGTCTGTGATCATAAGTTTAACGACAAATATTAGTCTTATATTACTCATGACTAAGTCGTCACTAGTATAACCTAAGTCAAGTCTTCTATAAAATTTGTGATAAAAAATATGGAAATAAAATTCAAATAATTAATTATATATTCTACTTTTAAAAACAATACTAAAATGTGATTAATATTTATCAAACACGTTTTATAAAAATACATGAGACTAAGATTCTCATTCTTAATTTTCGAGAAATTTTAATCCATGAAACAAAAACACCTCTTAGTGAACATCAATAATTTTCCATTATCATGTACAAAATTCATGGTTTATTTTCTTGATCATCTTCTCCTATAACAAACCGAGACCAAAACCAGTGTTTTCCCCATATAGTGTACATTGACTCCAAAGAAATTCCTTTAGTCTCAGGCAAGAAGAAGATAACAAATAGAGTCATCACCACAACCCAAAAAGCATAGAACACAAAGGCCCCAAATTTAAAGTGGCATAGCATTGTCAAAAACGTTTGTGATAACACAAATGTTAGTATAAACTGTACACCAATAGCTATGCTTTGTCCTGTGCTTCTGATATTTACTGGAAAAATCTCACTTGGAATTAGCCATGTTAAAGGACCCCATGACCAACCAAAACCAGCCGCGTAGAAACACAAAAGCACCAATACCAATATTGCATTGCCCTTCGATACGCCATTTGTACCATGAACACCAGTTACCACTTCTAGCACAATGGACACGGCAACCTTCACATTGTTCACACTAATTATTGAATAATTATGAAAATTAATTCAAATATAGACAAGTTCTAGTAATTCACTTACCAAACAAACAAACATCATAATACCCCCAGTTATGAACAAGAATCTTCGACCAAATCGATCAATGATACTGGCAGAGATAAAGATAGAAGTAAGGTTAACAACTCCAAGTATAATGGCAGAAAGCAAAGCACCATCGTGTCCCAAACCGACAGATTGAAAAAGGTTAGGTGAATAAAAGGCAACAATGTTGATCCCACTAAGCTGTTGAAACAACGGAATTGCGAATGCCATAACCAACTGAGGTCGATACTTTCTTTTCAATATGGTCTTAAAAGGCTCTTGTTTCACTGATTTTGCGATTTCTGTCCACTTAATAAGTTCTTCTAACTCAGTTTCAATATCAATGGAGGATCCTCTAACTTTGCTTAAAGCTTTTCTTGCTTGCTCTATCTTGCCGCGTTCCACCAAGCTGCTTGGGGTGTCCGTGATGAGCAAGGCGCCTATCGTCATAACGGCTGCAGGGAACACTGCGAGTCCAAGAGAGAGTCTCCATCCCCATGTGTGACTGACAGTGACTGTGAAATATAAAGCTGAAAGTGATACTTTATTAAATCAAAGATAGTGGCATTATATAGCCTTACAAAATAACAGAAGCATGCTAAAAATTAGGAAACAGACTCCACTACGGCTAAAATCTAGGAAACAAACTTATTCAACTAAGACAGATTCAAACTCCAACATACCCTCCCTTAAGCTTAACTTTCCTGAATTAAGCTTACTTCAGACAAGTTAACAATTCCAAGTAATGTTCTCAGGTTCTCGAACCGCTCCAGCTTCAACGGCTTCGTAAAGATATCCGCAACTTGGTTTTCTGTTGCACAATACTCCAGCTTAACAGTTCCGCCATTCACCAGCTCTCTGAGATAATGAAACCTTACTTCGATATGCTTACTTTTTCCGTGAAGGACTGGATGTTTGGACAAAGCAATCGTCGAACTGTTGTCACAATGAATGACGGTTGCAGACTCTTCTTCAGCTCCAATCTTCTCTAAGATCCTTCTAATCCACACACATTGACAAGCACAAAAGGCAGCGGCAATATATTCGGCCTCAGTGGTGGAAAGGGCGACAACAGGCTGCTTTTTCGATGCCCAAGATATCGCACCGGACCCTATCAAAAACACACAACTGGTTGTGCTTCTCCGGTCATCCAAATCATCGGCGTAGTCGCTATCCGTGAATGCCATAAGTCTTGTACTGCTGCTTTCACTTCTCCTGTAGGAGATTCCAAGTTCGATTGTACCTTTTAAGTATCTTAAGATCCTTTTCGCCGCAAGCCAATGTGACATCGTTGGATTTGCCATGAATCGACTTATGAGACATACTCCATACATTAAATCCGGCCTGGTCACTGTTAGATACATAAGACTCCCAACCAATTGCTTTAACATAATCGCATCCACCTTCTCGCCATTCTCATCTTGTGTGAGCTTCGTTCCCGGCACAATTGGATTTTTAACAGCATTGCTTTCTTCCATTCCAAACCTTGCTAAAACTTCACGAGCATACCGTTTTTGACAAATAAAAATCCCATTAACACTCTGCTTCACCTCTACCCTAAGAAAATGTTTCATTTTTCTCAAATCTGACATCTCAAATTCCATCATCATCGACTTCTTAAACTCATCACACATAGCTCTATCATTTCCAGTGAATATTAAGTCATCAACATACAAGCTGATAATGAGAATTTTACCTCCTTTCGTCTTGGTAAATAGAGTATGCTCGCTAGGACACCTCTTAAACTCCTCATTCAAGAAATATTCTTCAATACGGCTGTACCAAGCTCTCGGGGCTTGTTTGAGCCCATACAATGCCTTCCTCAGCTTGTACACTTTCTCCTCTTCTTCTTTCTTTATGAATCCCTCCGGTTGTCGCACATACACATTCTCTTTTAGTTCCCCATGTAGAAACGCACTTTTGACATCTAATTGGAAGATTTCCCAATTTGATTGTGCTGCAACCGCAAGTATAGTTCGAATCATATCGAGCCTCGCCACCGGAGCAAAGACTTCGGTATAGTCTATGCCATAACACTGAGCATATCCCTTTGCCACCAACCTCACCTTGTATTTGTCGACTTTACCATCTTCATTCAGCTTTGTTTTATACACCCATTTCACTCCAATTGGTGTAAAACCTGCAGGTAAGATAGTTAGCTCCCATGTGTTATTTTTCTCGATCGATTCGATCTCGTTTTTCATTGCTTCTCTCCACACCTTGTCTTTCACTGCTTCTTCGAATTTGACTGGATCGTTTTCTGTCATCATCATCAATAGCATTACTGATAAGCTTTCTTCCTCATCTTCTCCTTCACCCGTGACATAATCAGCCAAATAACCCGGTGTTTTCCTTATCCGCGGGCCTGTAACCACTTCTCTTTCAATCGATCTTGATGGAGATGAAGAAATTGGACTGGACAGAGGAGAGACTGGGCTTGGCGGTGTCGAAGTACTACCAGTTGCGAAAGACGAAGATGAACCAGAAGGCAACAAATTCGCGGTTGACGGAGGACAAGCCATATCACCTTCTCTCTCTTCTGTATTATGTTCTTCTTCTCCACAGTCGAGTATTTTCTCTTTTACACCGGTTTGATTCCAATCCCAGCTTTTGTCTTCATCAAACACTATATCTTTGCTTATCATGATCGTTTTTGTAACCGGATCATACAGCGTCCATGCTTTCGATTCCTCACTGACTCCGAGAAAAACACATTTCTTGCTTTTGTCATCTAGTTTTCTCCTTTTTCTAATCAGGTATGTGCGCATATGCTATGCACCCAAAGACACGAAAATACTCCACCTCAGGTTTTGAGCCGCTCCAAGCTTCTTCAGGTGTCATGTCTTCTACTGCTGATGTTGGAGATCGATTCTGGATGTGCACACTCCATCTTGTAGCTTCAGACCAAAACTCCTTTGGGACTTGCCTCTCACTCAACATAGATCGTACCGCATTCATTATCGTTCTATTCTTCCTCTCTGCCACTCCGTTTTGTTGTGGCGTAAATGCATCCGTCAATTGCCGGGTGATACCATGAGTTTTACAAAACTCTCTGAATTCATTAGACGTGAATTCCCCTCCGCGGTCTGTCCTCAGGCAAGTGATGAAGGTTCCAATCTCCTTTTCAGCACTTGCTTTGAAAGCCTTGAAGGTGATGAGTGCCTCAGATTTTTCATGGAGAAAATAAACCCAAGTTTTTCTAGTGAAATCATCAATGAAAGTCAAAATGTACCATTTTCCGCTGTGTGAAATTGGTGTAATCGGACCACATATATCCGAGTGCACCAGCTGCAGTTGTCTCGATGCACGCCAGAGGCTCCTTTTTGACATTGATGCTCTGTGTTGTTTTCCAGTCAGACACACCGCACATATCTCCTTCGTGGACCTCAGCATCGGCAGCCCAATAACCATCTTCTTTTGTGCAAGTTGTTTTAGAGCTTCTTGGTTTAAATGCCCAAAACGGCGATGCCACAGATTCGTCTCCTTCTCGATCACCTCTTATGTCTTCAAGCACATCGTGTTTTTTTGCAATTTGGATGTTAGAAGAAAGAACATCCTGTTTTCACTCATATTAGTCTCCATAATTGCACCTTTCTTGGGATGATATACTTTGCAGGTTCCATCACGAATCAAAATTGCCAAGCCTCTCTCCTGCAATTGTCCAAGGCTTAGTAAATTGTTCTTGAGCTCCGGGACATAATAAACTTCAGGTATGACTTGGGTGACTCCGTTAACATGTACTTTCACGCTTCCTTTTCCCACCACCGACATTCTTGTGTCGTTTCCAAGTTTCACAGATCGATTGAGACCTTCTTCCAAATCGAAAAACCAATCTTTGCATCCGGTCATATGATTGCTGCACCCGGAATCAAGGAACCAAACTTCTTCTCTTTTTGCCCGATGTTTCTCAAGATAAGACATCAAGAGCAACTCTTCTTCTTCTTCTAGTTCAGCATAATTTGCCTTCTTTTCCTATTCGGGACACTCGTTCTGATAGTGCCCTAACTGGTGACATTTGTAGCACTCGATAATGGCACGATCGACTGCGTTTCTTCCTCTTCCTCTACCGCGTCCTCCTCGGAACATTCTGCGACCTCTTCATCTACTAGGTCTTTCATCTTGAGATACTTTTAGTGCCAGCTCTTCTTGCACATATCCATTCACTCGCTGCTCATGGACAAGTAGGCTGCCATGTAATTCATCGATACTCATCGTGCTCAGATCATTCGATTCCTCAATCGAACATACCATATAATTGAATCTCGAGGTTAGCGATCTGAGAATTTTGCTCACGATCGTGCTTTGCTCCATTGATTCACCATTCACCTTCATCTTGTTCACCACTGTCAATGTTTTTCCTAGGAAAATGTCGATCTTCTCTCCTTCTTTCATGGCCAGCAATTCAAACTCCCTTCTCAAAGCTTGCAATTGCGCCCTTTTCACCTTTGTAGAACCTTGATACTTCTTTTTCATGGATTCCCAGATTGCCTTAGAGGTACCTTTGTCAAGAATAGTTTCCAGAATTTCTCTGTCAATGGACTGGAACAAAAAATTCTTGACCTTCAAATCCTTCAACTTTGCCTCTTCTACAGATTTGTTTTCGGTCGACATCGCCGGAATCCCATCTTCCACCAGGCTCCACAATTCTCTGCTTCTCAGAAAATTCTCCATCGTCATGGACCAGAAATCGTAATGGCCATCAAATTTTGGGATGGCCGGCTGCACAAATTTTTCAGATCTCTCAGACATCTCTCTCGATCACTTTCTCACACATGTTCTCGCTCTGATACCAAATGTGAAATATAAAGCTGAAAGTGATACTTTATTAAATCAAAGATAGTGGCATTATATAGCCTTACAAAATAACAGAAGCATGCTAAAAACTATGAAACAGACTCCACTACAGCTAAAATCTAGGAAACAAACTTATTCAACTAAGACAGATTCAAACTCCAACAGTGACGTAGTTTATGCAACTGGCAGCGACTACGTCAATTCCTAAGAAGAATTGAAAGCTTGTGCCTATAGTGCCTCGCCATTTTGGAGGTGCAATTTCAGATAGATACAATGGTGCAGCCTTTTACAATAGTAAAATGTCATAAGAATAAGAAATATACATTGAGTATTCTTTATTCTAAATTAATGATTTTATTAAAAAAATATTTACATCTATAAACTTGATTAGTAAAACCAACGCCGAATCCGAGAAGAACACGACCTAAAATGAGCAT